GTATGTTTCTTCTCGAGAGAGTCTATTTCTTCGTCAGATGCTGCTTCCCATAACTTCCAATCTTTGATTTCTACTGCCTCTTGGTAGCTTTTAGGTTCTTCAACTTCTATCTCTTCTGAACTCGCTAGAGCATAAGCCACAAAATCTGTATCCTCAAACTTGGACGGTGGTCTTATTGTTCTTCTTACTCGGTCCCTTGCAAGAAGATAACTCCCTAGATTTTCTGTCTCTGACTCAACCTCCTTTGTCTCTGTCTGGTCTTCTTCAGTGTTATCGGACTCTTGAGGTTTATTGTCTTCTAAGGCTCCACCAGGGTTTGAGTCCTCTTCTTCATAGACATCCTCGAGATCGCTTCTGAATGTTACCTTCTTCTTCTGAGCTTTAGGAGTTTCTTCTTTGCTGTCGCTTCCTTTATCCTCCTTTACATCTTTATAGAACTGATCCTCCTTGAAGACAACGTCTTTACTTATAGTCAGTTTATGTTCTTCTATAAGCCATACTCTATAGACTCGTGTTCCCTCAGCATATCCCAGGAAGATTCTTTTAGCAGCTCGTGAACTCGTCTTCTCCTTTATCTGGTGAACATGCGCTACAGAGCCAAAACTTGGAAGATGACTGTAATCAGGTTTGTGTCCTGACCACCTTTCCTCGAGTATTTCGAAATGGATTGAAGCACTTGGAGATCTGTTTATAACATAAACTGCTGTGGAGGCTGCTTTTGTCCAATAGCTTCCATCCCGACCTGTCTCATTTAACATGGATCGAACTTTATCCATGATTGTCATGTTTATCCTTTCTGAGATCCCATTTTTCTGCGGTGTGTAGGGGCATGTCTTGTGTCTTCTTATCCCAGCTTCTTTACATAAATGATCGAACCTTTGGTTACAGAACTCAAGCCCATTGTCCGTTCTTATAATCTTGATATTTCTTCCCGTTTGGTTCTCCACAAGAGCTTTCCACTCTGCATAACAACCAAACACCTCAGTTTTAGTTTTAAGAAAATAGATCCACACTTTCTTAGAATAGTCATCTATAAAGGTTAGGAAATATTGAGCCCTTGATAAGCTCGACACTGTGTTTGGTGATCCCCAAAGATCCGAGTGGATGTAGTCGAGGATAACCTTTGTTGTGTGCTTGGCTTTTGGAAATTTTTGTCTGTGAGCCTTTCCCATCATCCTTCACAGAACTCTAAGTTTCCCACGTCTTCTCTCTTTAAGTAACATTTCCTAGCCAAGGTCTCCATTGACTGCAAGCTCATATGAGCCAGACGTGTGTGCCATCTTTACGTAAGGTCAATGCTCCATGTCGCCGTACTTGCTTCTGGCTTCCTCACCATTCCTTGTAGGTGATATAATCCGTTGCAGTATTTGCATGTCAACACCGTCTTTCCTCCTTTAACAAACTGAACCAAGTAGTCCTTTCCTTTGTAGCTGCACCCTGACTTCTCTAGTCGACCATACGAAATCAAATTTCTTCCCATGTCCGGGACGTAGCGTACATCATTTAGGATCACTGTTGTCCCATCATAGTTGTCTATTGTAACCTTTCCCATTCCTTGAACTGTACATGAGGAGTTGTTTCCCATCATAACTTTGCTTCCTTCAAATTCCTTGAACTTTGTCAGAAGGTCTCTCTGAGGTGTAATGTGGAACGTACACCCCGAGTCTAAAACCCACTCCTCGCTTGATACAATTAAATTGGCCGTTAGTGAAACTGGTCCTGGTAAATTTGTGGCTATGTTTGTTGAGCTTCTTGGCTTGCCAAACTTGTTTGACTTCTTGCGCTCAGAACAATCTCTTTTCCAGTGACCCTCGCTTCCACAGATCCAACAAGCTTTATCCTACTTTTGACTTGTTGCTCCTATAGACTTCGACCTGAACCTGCTCTTCCCTTGTTGTTCTATTGCTTGTTGTTTCCCTGGTCTCCTCTACTTGTTGACCTTCCTCTTGCCTCGGTATATAAGCCTTCTGATTGATTACCACTCGTAGTTAATCCTTTCTGTTTTAACTCAGCTTCCGTTGAGTATGCAGCAGTGATTAATTCATTTACTGTTAACATTTCCTTCCCAGTTCCATACTGCAGAGTATGCACAAGTGGCTCGTACGCCGTTGGTAGCCCTGATAGCAATTGAATGGATTGGTCTTCATCTGATATCTCGATCTTGATACTCGCCAAATCAGCTACCAGCTTTAGAAAACCATCAAAGTTTTCCTCTAATGGCTTATCTTCCTCCATTCGATAACAAGAGAACTTCTTCTTTTGGTAAATCCTATTAGGTAGAGACTTTGTTTGATAGTCCCTCTCCAGTGCCTTCCATATTCCTAAGGCTGTAGTTTCATTCATGATCTTACGCAAGATCACATCGCTTAGACTTATGCTGAATAAGCTCCTAACTCTTAGATCTTTATCAGCCTTCTTAGGATCCACCTTTCCCTTAGAGCTTTCTTTTAGTTGCTTTCCCGTGTCATTTTCTGAGGGAGTTTCCTCTAACAAAACTGATAGCAATCCTTGTATTTCCAGCTGCACCATCATCTTGAACTTCCAAAGTCCAAAGTCACCCTTCCCATCAAACTTCTCGATCTCAAACTTCCCTCATGTTGGATCCATCTCTCGATTTTGTTAGTTCCTTTGAGTTTTGATACCTGCAGATAACAAGAACACAAAACCACAGCAAATCGAACGATCTACCACGGAAACTAAGATACGAGTCTAGATTGACTTAGAGTGAGATAGAATTGAACTTCCTTTTGACTCGTTGATCTTGGATGATCAACCTGTTGCGATGAGATGATTTTTCTCTGAGTGACTTCCTCGATAGTGATCTCTGTCTTGATCCTCGAATCCTCCTCTTTCACTTCTAACGTAGCTCTGATACAACTTGTAGAAGATTCTGCTTGATTCAACACTCAATCGTATTGATTTGAACTCACTTATGATTGTACGCTTATCGATCTGTAACTCACTCGTCTCTCTCTAATTGCAGATCTCGACTCCACACTCAAGAAAGTTGAATTGAGAAAATCAAGTAAAGATTGACACAATGAAAGTTTTAGAGTTCCCCTCTTCAACCCATGTACATCTCCTTCGGGACCGTACTTGGTAATTCACTATCTCTCAGATTACAAAGCTTTTACAAGTTTTAGCTATGGTTATTTTAGCCTTCTCGCAACAAACATAATGAAGAAGATGATAGTTTATTACGGTCGTTGGAAGAGATAAGATTCTCTGCTTCTTACTCCAAGTTTTAAAGTTGTATCTGATGGGCTTCTTTATTTTACCCGCCGGCCCAAATGAATTACTGAGTTACTTCCTCTTGTTGTCTTCAGGTATTGGTCTTGGACTCTATACGAAGGCCTGTTCTGTCTAACTTACCAATTCTCACATTTCTTATACATATTTTAACGTGTGTACATAGTATAGAGTTACGCTAGTAGTTGACCACACATTTCCCTCCATATGTTCCAATAAATACCTTCATCACGAGTAAGGACCTCAACATCACAAGATAAAAAATAAGAGGTAGAGAAAACAAAAATGATCATCATGATAGTCTCTCAGTCTATCAGAGGGTCTTCAATGGAAGAAAAGAGAATGAGGTTGAGCCAAGGATGATTTGCCGATTTTTCCAACGATTGACTTTGGTGTTCGGCAGGTTGACCAGGGCTTTGTTTCCTTCTCTTCTTTTTGATGTCAAACTCCAGATATCTATCAAGAACTTTTGATCAAGGTTTGTAACCTCAATATTTGAGACTGGAAACAATTAAAAAAATTTAGGCCTATTAGTATGCAGAGACATTATATAATTCACTTCTAGTAAGTGACATGTATTAGAGAAAAAGCTAGAGCAGAGAACTGAACTCGATACGGACATAAGAAACTTTAAAATTTTGTGACCGCTAAATTACTGCAGTTTTCTTCACGTTACTTGATGCATGCTAATAGCATTTGCTCTACTATTTTCTTATTCTACTTATATGCAAATATTTTCGTTTACTGTTTGATATAAGTTTAAACTAGATTAAAAAGTGTGAGTATCATTATTGTTATTTTATTTACAGAGTTTTTTGCTTTGATGATATAAAATGTCACTATCTAATATAATTTTAAAAAATTAATGCAGATTTTAATTTATTGTTATCATTAATATCTATGTAAATGCATTGTATGTAATTATGTAATATTATTTTGGAAAAATACTATCAATTAAATACGCTTGGTGCTGAGAAACGGGTCAAAGTCGCCCCGCCCGACCCGCTTGAGCTGCAAAGAACATATATTTTATCTCCATTCTCCCCATTTAATTTTGCGGGTAATCAGCGGAATCCGCATATAATTATTAAATAATAAACATAATTATTTTTTATTTTTTCTAAAAATAATATTAAATAGTATATTTTTAATATGTAAAATTATTATAATTATTTTTAACAAAATTTAGTATATTTTGAAAAATAAACTTAAAAAAAAATATTTTTGTGGATTATCGAGTACCCACAATTGAAATTAGAACAACCCACATCCATCCCGCGTAAAATACACTTGACCCGCACCTGCAACTTAAATTTTTCAAATCGGTCGACATGTTCCGTGGCGGATCAACTTGCGGGCTAATATCAAAATTCTCAACTCTAACTACGCCAATTAAGGCTGATGTGTTTATTTTTAAAAGAAAATTCATAAATAATTAGAAGGTGAATTTAGCTCATTAATAAAATTTATTATTATATTGTTTTTAGTCCAAAAAACAAAAGAATACTGTCATTAATAAAAATAAAACTTTGTTCATATCATTAAAATAATTTTGGAAAGAGTAAAAAACTCATTAAAATGAATGATCATTTTTTTAATAGTATTGATCTGATAACAATAGCAGCGCATAACATAACCTTGGCTATCATTACATGATAGTTTAGGTTACTACTTATTATGAAAGCTAAAATTCAGAACAATAACAATGCATCTCATAACCTTAATACTACCATTACATGAGAGTCTTAGTTTCAAGCTGTAGCGAGCTTCGGTTTCGAAGAAAAGATTCGGTTTAGAGTCGCCGCCAAACGAATCCCGCCTTGTGCAAGTCTCTTCTCCACAATGTGTAGCCGAGAGAGGAAGTAGTAATCTGCGAAAAGTGTGAGAAAAATCAGAACATCATTACATATTAGAAAGCTAAGATGATCTTGTTTCCTAGTGAATCATCTTTATAATGCTCAAAAGTATACCTCCTAAAGTAGTCCCTGCCGTAGCATCCTTGTAAGCATACTTGCAGGCAAGATTAGCGCTTTCAGAAGCATATCTGACAGCACCAAGAACATACAAAATCAGAATCAATAGTAATCTAGAAAAGAAAGAAAGATATGGCAGCTAAAACAAAACCATAATTGCTCTGCTAAAGATAGGAATGCTTACCAATTTGGGCAGACTGTTTGGTGAAGTGGACATGACTCCCATGACGGAACATGTTTTGACCAGCCGTACTATGTTAAGACAGAAATTAAAGATAAACAATCATTGTGATTTAAGTTTATTTTGGATCTGCTTAAAACGTGGTGAGGCTCTTAGACCATACGCAACGGGAGAACGTCGGGAGTCCTTAGTGTGTTAACCTAGGTAGATTAGATTAGATTAATATTATTTTAGATGAATAATGTAAGGATGAGGCCGTAAATAAGGATTTATGGGAGCTGATCCTTAGCAACGTGTCAGTTTGTGGTTCGTTTGGTCACCTTTTGGGTTCGGCGTTGTGAGAAAAAAAAATCATTCATTTCGACGAGAGCCGAAAAAAAAGGGAGAGCTTTGGCGAAAAAGGCGATTCGATCGAGTCAAGAAGAAAGGTAAATCGAAGCCCTCTCTTCGAGTTTTTGGGATTTAGATTAAGTTCTATGTTGTTTATCTTTGAAAAGATTTGGGGATTTGGGGATTTTTCAATCGATTTGGGGATTTTCCAATCGATTAGGGATTTTTTCTTATGGAGATAGGTTCAAGATATTTGAGTTTTGAATTGATTTTGGGATCTTTTCGTGTGTAGTTTATGGTTCTAGATTAGGGTTTGAAAAGATTTGGGGATTTTGCAATCGATTAGGGTTTGAAAAGATTTGGGGATTTTTCAATCGATTAGGGGTTTGTTCTTATGAAGATAGGTTCAAACGATTTGGGTTTTGAATTGATTTTGGGATCTTTTCGTGTGTAGTTATGGTTCTCGATTAGGGTTTGAAAAGATTTGTGGAGTTTTTGAATCGATTAGGGTTTTTTCTTATGAAGATAGGTTCAAAAGATATGTTCTCGATTAGGGTTCAAAAGATATGTTCTCGATTAGGGTTCAAAATTTTTGTTCTCGTTTGTTCTTTGTTTGTTGTTGGTTAACTGCATTGTGAAGCTTTAGTTTTGTTTGGTTAATATTCTTACACATTTTCTTTCAGGTTAATCAAGCATGGGACAAGATTACTCGTACACGCAGCCTTCTTCATCTGACGAGTTCGACATAACTCCCCTTCTTGAAGAAGAAGCTCGATTGTACGCCGATGAAGCAGATAGTAGGTACAATGCAGCAGGGCCGTTTCAGTTCCCACCTGAAACTGAGGCTGTTGATGGAATCCAGAGGACTTGCTACGGTGATGGTGAGACTGTTCTCGCAACATCTTACACCACTCTGATAGAGGAGATGACTGACTTTCAGAGTCAACTTAGGGATCTCACGGATCAAGTTCATGTGAATGCTTGGAAGCTGGATAAGTTAGAGAGTACCGTTGGTGAGTTACCTAATAAGAAGGAAGCAGAGGTCATGATCCATGGCTTCGCATTGGACGTTTATGTAATGGTGTGTGCATTAGTTGTACTAGGTTTGGCAGTCTTGTATCTTAATGGTAAGTCTAACTCTTTGATCATTTATGTTTTTAGTTCTAATTTTGCTGACTTTTTGATCTCATATTTTCAGGCAGAGTTTGAAAGGATCAACGGCTGTTTCTGACCTCGACAGTGTATGTATAAAGGTGCGTATTTAAGCAGAATCCATTGTATTATACGAAGCCATGTATGTAGTTTACTTATGTGGTGTTTAAATAGCTAAAATAGAATTTGTGTTAAATGTAATTGTGTTGATGGTTTTAAATAGCTAAAATAGAATTTAAGTTAAATGTTTAAAAGCTATTTGTGTTAAATGTTTAAAAGCTATTTCTGTGCTTTCTACCTTCCAACCTACTACGGATTTGATGGTTTTAAAAGTTTTCAACTATTACAATACCGTGTTACTGTGATTTGATTTGTTTTAAATGCTATTTGTTTACTTTCTACCTTCCTATCTACTATGAGTTAATTGCCTTTGAATGCTTGGTAGTTAAAGCTCCCTTACTTAAGCCTATGTGTTGCTAATAGAGCGACACAAACCATTCTCTATCCATGGAGAACACAACTAGTTATGTTAACCTTTTGTACAGTCAAAGTTCACTTAACCTTGAATCCCAAGAACCTTTATGGTTCGGTAACCATAGTCAAGAAGAAGCTGTTCTCGAGACCGGTGGGAAGGAGAGGAGGAAGTGGTCTCCGAAGGAGGATAAAATCCTTATTGGTGCTTGGCTTAACACCAGTAAGGATCCAGTTGTCGGCAATGAACAGAAAGCCGTTGCTTTCTGGAAAAGAATCGTGGAGTACTACAACGCCAACCCTCAACTAGCTGGAACAGTACCTAGAGAGATTGGTTCCTGCAAGCAGCGGTGGGCTAGAATCAATGCGGAAGTGTGCAAGTTTGTTGGATGCTACAACGCGGCTTTGAGAAAGCAGGGTAGTGGTGAAAACGATGATAATCTGATGCAGACTGCCCTAGACAATTTCTTCGATGCTCAGAAAGTCAAGTTCACTCTTGAACATGCCTGGAGAGAGCTCAGGCATGACCAGAAATGGTGCTCAACGTATCTGCCTAAAGAAGCTGGGAAGGAAAAACGCAAGCAGGCTGTGGATGTTGATACTGAAGATGAAGTGGGAGATCCGGATGCTAGACCTATTGGGGTCAAGGCTGCTAAAGCTAATGCTAAGAAGAAGAAGAGTGGGAAAGAACTCGAGTTGACACAGTTACAGGAAAGCTTTGTACTGATTTTTAAAGCTTTGTACTGATTTTTAAACTTGTATCCATTTACTAAAAATTTTGAACATCTCTTAAGCTTTGTACTGATTTTTAAACTTGTATCCATTTACTAAAAATTTGAACTTGTTTAGAACTGATATATAATTTCAACTTGTACCAATTCTGAACTTGTATCCATTTACTAAAAATCTGAACTTGTTTAGAACTGATATATAATTTCAACTTGTACCAATTCTGAACTTGTATCCATTTACTAAAAATCTGAACTTGTATCCATCTACTAAAAATTTGTACTTGTATCCATTTATCTAAAAATCTGAACTTGTATTAATTTATTTTTAAAAACTTGTATATAAATTGATCTTGTATTATAATTTGAATATCACTTGTATCAATTTATATTTATCTAAAAATTTGAACTTGTATTAATTTATTTTTAAAAACTTGTATATAAATTGATCTTGTATTATAATTTGAATATCACTTGTATCAATTTATATTTATCTAAAATTTTGAACTTGTATTAATTTATTTTTAAAAAATTGTATATAATTTGATCTTGTATTATAATTTGAATATCACTTGTATCAATTTATATTTATCTAAAAATTTGAACTTGTATTAATTTATTTTTAAAAACTTGTATATAAATTGATCTTGTATTATAATTTGAATATCACTTGTATCAATTTATATTTATCTAAAATTTGAACTTGTATTAATTTATTTTTAAAAACTTGTATATAATTTGATCTTGTATTATAATTTGAATATCACTTGTATCCATTTATATTTATCTAAAAATCTGAACTTGTATTAATTTATTTTTAAAAACTTGTATATAATTTGAACTTATAACAGGATATCTAGATATGTCATCATCTTCATCCGATGAAGTCGATGAAAGATTGGACGAAATAATCGACGAATACTTGGAAGAAACATTCGACAACATAGTGGAGGCCCAAACCATACCGCCAAGGAGACGTGGTTATATAGAACGACACCGCGAAGGAGGAGACACCCGCTTATGGAATGACTACTTCAGCGAAAATGCGACATTCTCTTCTCATTTATTCAGACGCCGTTTCCGCATGAATAAGGAATTATTCTTGCGTATTGTTCATGGCCTATCAGAGAGCTTTCCATTCTTTCAGCAAAGAAGAGATGCGGCGGGGAGGTTCGGTCTTTCTGCACTACAAAAATGTACGGCGGCAATTCGTCTGCTAGCTTATGGTACTGCGGCAGACACGGTCGACGAATATCTCCGACTTGGTGAGAGCACTGCACTTTCATGTCTACATAAATTCACTGACGGAATAATACAGTTATTCGGAGATGAGTATCTACGACGCCCCACCGCGGCGGATCTTCAACGGCTACTCGATATTGGAGAGAAACGCGGGTTTCCTGGGATGATCGGGAGCATTGATTGTATGCATTGGGAGTGGAAAAACTGTCCAACGGCTTGGAAAGGACAGTACGCACGAGGATCAGGCAAACCAACAATTGTCTTAGAGGCTGTAGCTTCACATGATCTTTGGATATGGCACGCTTTCTTCGGTCCTCCAGGTACCTTAAATGATATTAATGTCCTTGATCGGTCTCCAGTTTTTGATGATATTTTAGAAGGTCGAGCTCCGAGGGTTAAGTACAAGGTCAACGGACACATGTATAAGTTGGCGTACTACCTTACAGACGGTATTTACCCAAAATGGTCAACATTTATCCAATCTATCACCCTCCCTCAAAGCCCTCAACAAGAGTTATTTGCTAAAGTTCAAGAATCGGTCCGAAAAGATGTGGAGCGGACTTTTGGAGTATTGCAAGCTCGATTTGCGATTGTGAAAAACCCGGTGAAAACATTACAAAAAGCAAAGATAGGGAACATTATGAGAGCATGTATCATCCTACACAATATGATAGTCGAAAATGAACGGGATGGATACACTCGGATCGATATATCTGAATTTGAAGGAGACGTCACCAGAAGTTCACAGGTGGAAACCGAGATGCCTACAAACATGAATAATTTGTTTCCCGATCGGAATGATCTTCGTGATAAACAAGTTCATGAGCGACTGAAAAATGATTTAATTCAAAACATTTGGAACAAATTTGGTGATGAAGATTTCTAATTGTTGTATCTTTTTATTGAATCATGTATAATAAATAAAAACTTAAATTTCACTTTTTAAAAAAAAAAAAAAAAAATTATTCTTAAAGACTCGAAAACGAGAAACACCATTGCACATACCAATTTGCTAAGAATCCTTAACTATTCAAAAAGTACAAAAAAAAAAAAAAAATACATATTCTATTCCTAAGGATTCTTTTCACAAGCTTACCATTGCATATGCTCTTAAAATGAGAAAATAATGTAAGATCATACCTTGAGTTTGTGTTGAAGGGAACGAATCATGACTGAAAGGCTTGAATTGTAGTATTTCTCTAGAGCAGACTCAATTATCTTGTCATCCCACACCTTCACAATCAACGTGACTCTTTTTATATATGTTATTAATAGAAGATATTAATGTGTTAGCATGAGGAAGATCGGCAACAAAACACATACACGGTGCAAATTAGTTTCTTGGTTGTACCAATTGACTTTTACTCCATTACCACCTTGATCTCCAAGAAAACCTACATGTAAGGGCTGTGAACAGAAACCAAATCAATCCACATTAGGGACTAGCCATTGTTCTTTATAAATTGTCTATAACCCTCAAAATATCAGAACCGATCTTGTAGACATTCTCTACGGTATAACTACTTTACACTAATAACAACTCCAATGTGGATAGAGTAGAGTCAGTAGACGCAATTGCATATAACTTGAATTTGGTAAAGAGATTGATTAACCTGATGAATATCTCCCATAAAGTGTGATACGAACATGAGAGCTTCTGTCAAGTTATCTGCAAACGAAAAAGAAAAGTAGTCACACTATGAGGCTCCATGTAACCTATATACAGTGGCAAAGGGAGACATTTTTTGTCAGTACGGTCAAAGTGATAACAGATGTATTTTATAAGAGTCAATAAGCTACATCAATCAGATTTTTCTATCAGACGTACATGTAAAAAAAAAAAAAATTCAAAAAAATACATATGTGCATGATACTAAAAGTCTAACTCACAGTGGATTTGAAACATTAAGTGGGTTGTGTAATTGAAGATTGCTCCTGTCACACATATGTCATTCGGACAGTCTCCTTCACATAAAAAGACAAGAAAATTAACATTTTATTGCCAATCTCAAACAGAAACATGAATAAATATTTGGGGAAAAAAAAAGAAACACACGTGAATACTCATAGTTGCATTTGTAATCAGGTGTGTCAGAATAATGCAAAGCTGCAGTCCATTTCCACTGAGGGAGGCGTTTGATTTCATCAGGCCATGAGCAGACAGCTGCTACTTCACCATTTGCATATGCAGGCAGAAGTTTCTTCACTGCTACTAAAGTTTCTTCCTCAAAATAGCTCTACAAGATTGAAAAAACATGGCAATATACGAGATCACACATGCTGATGCAGTAAAAATTATGAAATAGTAAAATCAAAAGAGTAATCAAAGCTCTCTCGGATCTATAGACAAAAGTTTCACCTGAGCTATTTTGCAGACAGCGTAATGACCATCGATTCCCCAACCAAGAGCTCCATGGACGAGATATGTAAGGAGGATTATACTTGCGACCCACGTTCTCAACGATAAACCCATCTTGACAAATAGAAAACAAAGATTCCATTTTTACTATTCAAACTAGAAAGAGAGAAAAAGAGGTAGAATAACAAGGAGTTTCTTACCTTCACAAATTAAGGCCTTTTGATTGGTTTTCTTACTCTATACTTTTCACTGATGGGGATATATCATATATGTATATGCAGTGTTTGTATATATTTAATTGTTGGGAGATTCAAAATAAGGGTTTTCAAAGGGCAACGTTGCACTTTTATTATTCATACCTAGTATTTTTTTAAGTTTGTCCAACTGTCCATTAAACAGAATCCTTTTATAAAATATTAATAAAAACAATTTCGACTATGAAAAATCATATTGTTGCTAATAAAGAAGTGAGTAATAGGACTAAACATCATTACTGTAAGTAATAAATAAATAATGGGTTAGTAAGCCAAAACACGAGGGAATACGCTCACATGGCTTGCTTTCTCGTTGACTTCTCTTACATGTGTATATCACTAATCCGACCTATAGCCTTATTTAAAGTGGAAGTTTCAGATCTATAGTCTCCTTCACATCCGACATCAGCATCTAGAATTCTGATTTAAAGAATAACTCTCATACTAATTTACAAGCCAAGGTACAAGGATAATCCAACTAAAATTTAACCAAGAATCTGAGATTTTGATGAGCAAAACAAGTTACAAACCATTTCTTTACATACAAATCTATACGAGTTGTTCACCAAAAGAAAAAAAGCTATACAACTTTTTTTCTCAGGGAATCACTTCTGCTTCTAGTTTTCACAATCATAAGCAGCCTAAAAGGCTAAAACCCCCTACAAAGCGAATCATAAGCATATTCAGAGGATGATGTAATTCACACAATATAATGACGAGCCAACGACTTGAAGCACAAGCACACTCCAGGGTTTGTGTTGAGACGCATGTAAGAGAGAATGTCTTATTACTTTAGATGTTACTGAGATGCTTATAAATAGAGTGAGGATACACTATGTTTAACGAATAAGGAAAGATATATATTGTCATAATGAGAGGATCCTATTTCATGTCCCCTCAAGATGAAGGGGGTTGTGGGCACTCTAATCTTGTCTCTAAGTTTAAGAAACCTGAGACGTCGTAGTGGTTTTTTGTCAATGCGTCTGCGAGTTGGTATTTCGTGTTGACGTGTGCGGTGCACGAAGTATTCCCTGTTGTACTTGGCTTCGTACGAAGTGTTAGTTAAGCGATAATGTGCTTCATCTTAGAGTGGAAGACATGATTGGCGAGCTCCACCATTATCACAATAGACGACTGATGTGACAGGAAGTGTGACACCAAGTACAGTCAACATGTTACATATCCATCGTATCTTTTTTTTTTTACATATCCATCGTATCTATGATGCTGTTTTAACAACAGCTTTATACTCAGCTTCCGTAGATGATCTAGCCACACTCTTTTATTTCTTTACTGACCAAGAAATGGGGCGACTGCCAATGTAAATCATGTAGGCATATATTGAGATGTAATCGTTGAAATCACCAGCCCAATCTGCATCTGATATAGTGGGGAGAGAGTGAGGTGATTTGATGCAGAGAAGAAGACACTGTGAGTTTTTGTGCCTGCGAGTAGGGATGTGAATTGGACACACTGTCCATGGGTGGCCCATATCCAAATTGATATGGACTAATATGGTCACACCCAAATCTGTCCGAAATATTTTCAGTCTAAGTAGACCATGTCTAGATACGCCCAACCTCCAATGGACAAAACCAAATGGACATGGGTCGCCCATATTTAAAAATATCTAAGATTAGTATTTGGGAAAAAAAATCAAATCCTAAAAATGAACAGCATCTCTCTTCTTCTCCTCTTACTCTCTCATAACCACGATTCTAGGTCAAAGCTAACAAATCGTTAAATTAATTAATTAATTTTAATTTTTAATATCATAAAATATAATTAGAATTTCAAATTAATATAAATTTTTATTGACGAAAGAAAATTAAAATCATATAAATATTTTAATTATGTTTTAATGATAATAAAACTTAAATTGATTATTTTTTAAAAATACAGTTTATAAAGATCTTTAAAAGATTTTGTTATAATGAAATATCTTTTTCTATTTCAAATAAAAATCTCTTATCCATCTTAGTCTATTTCAAGCAATTTTTCAAAATAAGATATTTACTACAAAATTTATTTGCAAGTACAATATGATAGTTTTCTTTTAAAAATATTCAGTACCGTTTATATAAGGAAAATAAAATTTCTATTTTATTTTTATATATTTTATAATAATAATAAATAATTTTAAAATAAATTATATTATATAAAATTAAATATGATAAATTATATTTTATTGATTTATTTATAAATTTATTTTATAAAATAAAATATTTCTGGGAAAAATATAATATGACGACAGAAGAGCTTTATATTCGTAAACTATTTAATACATGTATAAAAATTAAAATATTTTATAAATTTGTTTATAAAATAATATATTCTATAAAATGAATAAACGTAAAAATATTGCTAAAAGGAAATCAATTTTGAAGCACACTGTGTCAGAATTTGGTATAAATTAAATTATACCAAATGCATGTGAAGGTTTTAAACAATTGTTTAATTATAATATGTAAACTATAAATTATTGTATTTGAAATAGTTATATGAATATTTAAATATATTATTAACATTAAAAATGTATACCACTAATGATCTAAAATAATTATCTATGTATAAAAACTGAAAACAAACACTCATACAGTTGCGTGGATCAAGATCTAGTTTTATATTAAATGGACATCTGGACTCAATTAACATTCCAACTCGTCATGGTCCTATTTGGACATGGTCTTATTTGGACATGGTGCTATTTGGACTTCGACCCAAAACGCCCAGAAATAAATAGGTCTATCTGGACACGTCCAAATCCACCCAGTTCATCCGAGTGACATCCCTACCTGCGAGGTAGCGGAGTATAGGATTTGCCGCATGCCAATGTGTATCCGTAGGTATGTGCGTGTATTGAGATAGTTTGTTCACCGCATATGAAATGTCCAACCATGTGAATGCTAAGTATTGCAGGCTGCTCACAAGCTTCCTATACTCGGTGAGTGTTAGCTTCGGTGTTGGTCTGATGACAAATTTACAGCCGATCATGTTGTGATATTAGCAATTGAGTTAGAAAATTTTTGCATAAATAGTTTGCTCTTAAAATAAATAAGGATTGAAAAAACTAAAAGTACATTCATTATAAGACTAGGAATACTTAGAGTACCATTAACCTGAATCTTAAAAAAAGGGTGTTTAACTTTTTTTCTGATTAAAAAAATAAATTTAAAAACAACCAATTGTGAGCTGCCACAAATCAGTGGGGTCTACAAACAGTTGAAGCAACAACAAAAATGGAGCTCTTATTTAACATCGAGAGGCTTCGTTGTTCTTTGGTGTTTTGGTGGGTCCCTAAGGCTAAGCACCCAATAACTTCATGCGATAAGGGTGCTCTTAGGTTGATAAAGCAACAAATATTTGTAAATGAAACCAGATTGAATCCCAAATATTGATTTTGGTTGACATCGTCTCTGTTTCCATCTCTTCTATTGATGTCAAACTACAGATGTCTATCTATATATCAGAAGTGAACTGAAATGTAGAGTTTTTTTCTCGTTACTTGATACATGCTAATAGCATTTGCGTCTACTTTTTTTTTGGACCAAAAGATTTGCGTCTACTTACTATCTTCTTGTTTCTACGAAAATGAGGATATATTTTCCTTTACCGTTTCGTAGAGTTTATATCCAGCACAAGATCAGCGCATTAAACATAACAGTAGCTATATCGTTACATGATAGTTTAGGTTACTACTTATTACCAAAGTTAAAACTCAGAACAATAGCTTGCATCACATAACCTTAACTAGCATATTACATGGGAGTCTTATTTTCATGCTGTTGCAAGCTTCGGTTTGGAAGAAAAGATTCGGTTTAGAGTCGCAGCCAAGCGAATCCCGCCTTGTGCAATTCTCTTCTCTACAATGAGCAGCCGAGAGAGGAAGTAGTCATCTGCAGAAAGATATGTCAGAGAAATCATTGCACATTAGAAAAGCTAAGATGGATCTTGTTTTATAGTGAATCGTTTGCTAATGCTCAGAGTGTAAGTATACCTCCTAAAGTAGTCCCTGCGGTAGCATCCTTGTAAGCATACTTGCAAGCAAGATCAATGCTTTCAGAAGCATATCTGACAACACCAAGAAAACACACAGACTCAACATTAGTGGTGATTGAAAAATATATGACAACTAGTATAAACCATAATTTATCTGCTAAATAGTCCTTTTTAAAGATAGGGATGCTTACGGATTTGGGCAGGCTGTTTCGTTACGTTGACATGATCCCCACGACCGGACATCATTTGACCAGCCATACTGTGTAAAGACAACAAAATCACTGTTAGTTAAGTTTATCTTGGAACTGCATAGAACGAGACGAGGTAAGACCGTACCTTAAGTTTGTCTTCAAGAGCATGAATCATGATTGAAAGGCTCGAGTTGTAGTATTTCTCCAGAGCAGACTCAATTATCATGTCATCCCAAACCTTCACAATATAATCAAAGTTTATAGGACTAAGATCAATAAAAGAAATAATGTGTTAGCATCAATATGATCGACAATAGAACACTTACGCGGTGCAAATTAGTTTCTTGATTGTACCAACTGACTTTTACTCTGTTACCACCTAGATCTCCTAGAAAACCTTCATGCAAAGGCTGTGAACAGAAATCAAAAATACACATTAGGGACTAGCCATTCTCTATGTAATCTGAATAGAGTAGCCTTAACTGGATATGACTTAGGATCAATATACCTGATGGATATCTCCCATAAAATGTGATAAGAACATGAGAGCTTCTGTCAAGTTATCTGCAAACGAATAAGAGAGAGATATAGAGTAGCTACACTATGCTCCATGTAACCTATGTGAAAAAATAAAACATAACACTAAAAGTCTAACTCACAGGGGACAATACTCAGTGAATCTTCAGAAGCTGACATCAGTTGGTTTGTGTAATTGAAGATTGCTCCTGTCACACACCAGTCTTCAGCACAGTCCCCTTCACATAAAAAAAAAAAAGACAAGAAGAATCTTTCATTTATAGCCAATGTCAAACAGAAACATGAATGAATATTTGCAAGAAAAGAAACCCACGAGAATAGTCATAGTTGCATTTATAATCAGGTGTATCAGCAAAATGCAGAGCTGCAGTCCATCTCCACTGAGGGAGGCGTTTGATTTCATCAGGCCATGAGCAAACAGCTGCTAGTTCACCATCTGCAGACGCAGGCAGAAATTTCTTCACTGCAACTACAGTTTCTTCCTCAAAATACCCCTACAAGGTTTGATTAAATGGCATTATCAGACATCACACATGCAGATGCAGTAAAAACTCCATGAAACGATTAAAAAAATGCCCTTCCTTTGTTTTCTCTCCCCATATTAACAAAAGAGTTACTATAGCTCTCAGATTTAATCTATAATCACACCAGAGATCATTCTATTTCACCTGAGCTATTTTGCAGACAGCGTAATGACCATCGTCTCCCCAACAGAGAGCTCCATGAACAAGATGTGTAAGGAGGAGCAGACCTGCAATCCACATTCTCAACGCTAAACCCATTCTGAAAAAAAAAAAAAAAGAAAACCCATTCTCAACGTTTTTATTTCAAATATAGGGACAGAGACGAAGAGGTTTCATTGTATTTATATACAAGGAGTTTCTTACCTGACGCAGTCTTCTTTTGTTTGATTATCTTTACTCTATACTTCCCATTGATGGAGGGTTATCTCATCTATATATATATATATATATGCCAGAGTATGTTAGTTAGTATTTAACTGTTGGGAAACTCAAAAAGAAATATATATTCAAACGACACTCGCACGCAAATAACGTTGAACGTTGTTTTTTCCCAACCACTATTCATAACTACTTTTTAAATACGTCGAATTGTCTAGAAAACATAATATTTACCTAAATTAATTTAAAACTAATTTGGAAAATGAATGAAAAAAGGGTCATGGAAATCTTATCAACAAATGACCAAAGGATGAAAAATCATTACGGTTGCTAATAAAGAAGGGTGAAACAGTGATAGATGGGACTAAAACACCATTACTGCAAATGTTATTCACGTTGCTTGCTCTGTCGTTGCTTCTAGCAAATGTATATTTCACTATTCCAACTATAGTTTTTACCAGCAATATAAAATATAGAAGAGAAAAGCAAGTAACAAACAGTTTGTTTTCTGGTTCAGGTGCCTGGGATTAACTCAGGCTTATGCTGTTTCCCTAGATGTTTGATAATAGATGAAGTTTTCAAATACTAAATTACTGCAGCTAAAGTTTCTGCTGAGATGAAGAAATAAACAAAATCGTAGTAATAAAGTAAAGTACAGTGAAGGGCAGCGAAATACAGTAAAGTGCAGCGAAATACAACAAAGTGAAGTGAAATACGGCAAAGTGCAATGAATTACAATGAATTGCAATGAAGTTTGGATAACAAGATAAAGCAAGAAAGAATTTGGAGAAATTCAATATGGACCTTTAGAGCCTTCATAAGTAAGGGAAGTCAAGTTTGATGGAGTACTCAGTTCTGGTTTGATTTAAACAAGAAGAAGTCACATTTGATTTAAACAAGAAGAAGTCACATTTGATTTAAACAAGAAAAAGTCACATGTGTTGCTTAAGAGAAGCTGATAGACCTGTCATTCACTACAAGAAAAATGCGTTTTAATAGCAGACGAGGATAACGTTTTTTACGATTGTGCTATGGTTGATATACCCGTGTTTTTAAGATAGCGTTTGTATTTTCAGAAACGCTATGATAGAGTAATATATTTAGAAATGCTATGAAAACTTAGGATTTAATAGCAAAACTTAATTAAACGTTATGTTTGCCTATTGAATCCCTAAACCCTAAATACGTTTTTAAACCTTAAACTTTAAATACGATACTTAACTCCAATGTTTTTACATCAAAACTTAAATTTAATTCCAAATCTTAAATATAAACTCAAAAATCAATCTTTAAAAAAATTAATCTCAAATCTTAAATTTAATACCTCCCAACCTATAACCCTCAAACTCTATATTTAAACATTTATTCTAAATTCCAAACTTTAAATATAGGCTCGAAATAAAATAAAAATAAAAAATTGTTGCATCAAGTTTACAATTATAAATCATAAAATATTAAATTTATTTCATATGTAATTTAAATTACTTACTTAATCTTAATTTATTTACAAATATACTTTATATAAAAGCATTTGTATGGAGTTTTAGATAAAAAAATGAAATTTAGTCACTTTGTTAACATTATATATATATATATATATATATATATATCATTAACTTTATAAATGTAAATGATGATTTAATTTTTATATACATAAAATTAGTTAACAGTAAAATTGTAATTGCTAAAACAACTATTAAATAAAAACAGTTTTTGATTGCTTACTTTTGAACCATTGATTGCTTTTAATCCAATGGTTACAAATCAATTTTACTCAATCCTTATCCTTTCTCCTTATTGGCAAATCTATCAAAATTAGGATTACAATTTGTAGCCATTGATTGTTTTGATCTTGTGGCTAAGATCAATCTTTTCCTCACGATTCTTTTTCTTTTCTGAACTCTCTCTTGTTCGATACTAAATTAAGAACGCCTTTTCTTCTCCTTCGCTAGAGAGTCCCTCTGGTTCATCCCCCTCGAAGTTTTTTCCTTCACAACAGACCTTCCCGATGCTTCTCTGCTATCTCTCTCTGTCTCTCTCTAACTCTTCCACTATTGTTAGATTTGTTTATATTTTAGATTTTGTAGCAGAGAAATATATATTGTCTTTCCAGATCCTTCAGAGATGGCGACTTATAAACAGAGATGGCATAGGAGCGTCAGTAAGAAGGTGAAGACAGCAAGGTGGAGCACCAGAGGTGACGGCCCGAGCTTCTCTCCAGTGAGACAGAGAACAGGGGAAGAGGAAGACAGTGTTGGTTATGGGGTTTGTGGCGAGGAGGCGACGGAGAATCTGGTGGTCGTGAGCAGAGTGGAGGCATGGGGCTTGGGACAATGATGCGACGGAGAAGCTGATGTCGTGAGAAGAGGTGCTGAATCCATGGAAGAGTTTGTCGTTGATGGAGGTGGTTGCCGGCGGCGGAGTTAAGAAGCTTGAAGATGGCGTGTTTGTTATTAGGTTTAGTTAGCAAATAGGTTTAGGTTTAAGCTTGGTTTAGTTTCTGTTTATTTGGTTTTTTATTTCATGTAAACCAGTTGTAATTTGTAATTCAATATATTTTATAAATTATAATTTTGATATATAACATTTTTTAAACAAAAAAAGAAATATATATATATATATATATTATATATTATATATTATATATCTATATATTTTTTTTTTAATTTTGACTAATATAAATAATAACAAAAAATAAATGCTATTAAAGACTGTTTAATTGCATACAGAAAAACGCTATAATCTATGACAATAAGATAGCAGCGCAAAAAAACGCTATCTAAAGTGCTTGACCTATTATGACGGGTGATGATATAGCGTTTCATAAACCGTTATTGTATTGATAAATAGCGTTTTTCGTCCGCTAATAAAAGCCATTTTTCTTGTAGTGATTATCAAACCAAAGAGACTGTGCATCTCCCTCTTGTCACTCTCACTACCTCTAGTCATGCATCCTTTGACTCTATTATCTTTGTCTTCATCATAAACTCTACAAAATTATTTGTTTATGTTTTTATGTTTTAATAATTGTTTAATGTTGCTCATTGTCTATTTAAAGGCAATTTCACCTCTTGTAACATTTACCAGAAGTAAGATACAAGTTTATCTTTCTAAATTCGTGGCTCTCTCTCTCTCTCTCTATCTTGTGTCTAAACAATATTCACAATGTAGGGACTTAAGCATTATGGTTTAGAGGCTGCCTTTGCTCTATCTCTCTAAAGGCAGCCTAATTCTTGTAAAATTCACTCCAAACTTTGATTTATCTCTTCTTAAGCTCTAGGTTACTGATTCTAATTCCTCTTCTCTTTAAGTGAGAAAACTGAATGTGTTGTGTCACTTCTCAGGGATTAGATTCATACTAGAAAATTTCTGCTTCATATAACCAGTTTACTATCTAGGATTCTTGGTTATATAGTAAGTTGTGTATGAGGATTCAATCACAAGTTGGTTGTCTCTTTCTTGTAATGGTGAGTTCATATTGTTAGGTAGAAGGGGATTCAATCACAAGCTGTCTGAATACTTTCTTGACATGAGACAAACACTCATGAATTCCAACATGGTATCTGAGCCTTGTTGCTCTTCTTTGGGATCAAACTCACCTCTTTTCTCTATGTTTTTGTATAAATACTTTCTCTCCCACTCTGATATAGTTTTAGCTTGGTCAGCACTTGTTAGTATCTTGAATCAAGCTTGTGGAAGAGAAAGATTTCGAAAATGCTTCACCATTATGCTTTATCCATTAGATAATAGCTTTCTCTTAATGGAGCATATCTTTGACCAGTGGACAAACTGTTTTGAGCCATTGGTGTCTTTGTTGTCTAAACCACATGAAACACTTTGTTCATGTGTTATTCTGATTGTTATCTTGTTGCAAGCCCTCGAAAACATCAGTTCATGAGTTATTCCAGTGGCAGTTGTCTAAGACCAGTGAATAAATTAATTGTTCAATATGGTCAATTGTGTTTCAGCTACTAAATCACAAACTCTTGATGAGTATTGGTTGCTCCTGGCTGTTAATGCTTCTGCAAAACTCAAGAAAACAGAGCAAAATTCTGTCCATTAGAACTCTTGAGGAAGTCTATATTCTCTCATTCTCTGATTCTCAGGTTACTTATTCTCCATCATTCTCTGGCCACTAAAAATCGGGTTACATCATTCTCTACTCTCCATTTATTCTCTGGTTGTGTATGTTTTGTTTTGAATGATTTCTAAGCTTGCTAGCATGGTCATCACTAGTTATTGTTTTAGATAAATTGTTTGTGTTCAGAATGGTCTAGGCGAGTTGTCTAGAATATGTTGTTTTTCTTGTTGCATTGCTAGAGGTCTAGGAGAGTCTTATAGTCTTGTAATGCATTTATAAATTAAGTCTGATCTTGTTTTGCATCAATATGTTGTTCCTAGTCCTGTGATGCATTCTTGAACTAGTTAAGGTGATTAGATGAGTTATCTAGTCTCTGTTTTTGACATTTAATCATAGTATTGCTTAACCGGTCATTAAAATTTGCCTAAATGTCTTGTTATCATACATGTGCATTTAGAGAGTTGGTTGCTTGGAGTTGAACTGAATGCGTTGTTTAGATTCAGTCCATTGCATCTTTGTTTAACATGATGGATCAGACTTGGTGAGTTATCAAGGTCTGGTCCTAATGTGTGGTCTCATTCTTGCTGGACTATGAATGATGTTTCAGGTACACAAGAGATGCTCTCTATCCATCACCAATCCAAGACAAAGAAGAAAACATTGCGCATGAGTTCAGAGCCTACACGGTGTGTACATTCCTGACCATGGAGAGTTACCTTGTGTGTAGAACCGGTTGAATTAAGCGCAGCCTGTTTGGGTGTTGAGCTTCTAGTTCAAGAGACACACAAGGAAGACCATCACCTAAGTCATGAGGAGACCGGTGGTCCAAAGGCGATGGAACAGAGGTCAAAGGTGGATCAGTTGGCTTAAGCGCATGTGTTGAAACTGTTGTGCTCCTGGTCTTAAACTCAATGTTGCCCACTTCCAAGCTTGGTCCTTCACCAATAATCTC